GGGTCTTGATTTCGGCACCTTGCTGAGAATAACGTCGTTGTCATCACGATGCTGAGAAGAATCGGCATAACGGCATACCTGCAGTGATGACAGCGACACGTGAGTGAGAAGAGCAATGAAATTCACGCGCATAGAAACATTCGCAATAGCCAGCACGTAGCACTACCAGGAGTAACTGCCGGACCGCTGTAGACTTACTGGTAGCAAGCAGGGGTTTTACCTCAGGGCTCTCAATAGAAGGTACGACCCTAAACCCTAAACCCTAATTCTGGTATTGCAAAGACTTGGGTCCAAGTGATCGCTGGCAGGCAAAGTATGTTCCGTCACCATGTCAATCTCCAACAATCCAAAAAGTTATCCTAAGTATGAGTGGGGTTACGGCTAAGTTGAGGAGTCTTGCCGTCATGAGATTGGGAGCGTTCCTACAGAGAGATAGCTGCTATTGATTCTAGCAACCTACAGCTCGAGCCTGAGCAGATGATGGAGTTGCCAAAAATGGGGGGTCCTTCTTATAAACACCGTATATCCCGTGTCATACTCTGGGTTGCTGTTAAGGAACTTAATTCAAGTTACCAGAATGGGTATATGTATGTATATATATATATATTAAGTAAATAGTTGGGTTTCACCAATAAAGTAACTTAATTAAGTTCCTTAACACCAAACCAGTACTGGCACTTGCCAAATGGCCGCCTCTCAATTTCTGGAAAGCCCCCATCTCAAGCTTTCAGTTGGACTGCTAAGGTCGAGCCATTCTCGGACGACGAGATGACGGTCCTGACAGACTTCGCGTTTGAGCACGCAGCTTGTTGCACAAATTTCTCAAACCTCTAGTAGCGAATATTCCCCCCTGTACGTTGTGGTCTTCAACTATTCAGGCTGGTTAACTAGCACTTCAGGAGGCAGAGGGCGGGTAGATGCTTTGCAGAATTTTGCTCCGGGTGCCCATGCGACGCCATGCAAGAATACGTACGTGTGTGGCCAACAATGACCAATCCTCTGCACGCCAGCCTACCCTGAACCCTAAACCTTAAACCCCCCTATACTAAGTATTCGCATGCCTCTCCTGCTGCCTTTCAAGCCAGCCTACCCTGAACCCTAAACCTTAAACCCCCCTATACTAAGTATTCGCATGCCTCTCCTGCTGCCTTTCAAAAGAGGCTTTGTTCCTGCTTCTGCCGCATTTTCCTCTTCTAGATGGACCTTGGATCCTGCAAGGAATTATCCCCATATAACCTCAATGCAACCCTAATATGATCCCTTCTAATCCCTATATAACCCCAATATAACCCTAACTTTACTAACCAATACATGCCAATGCTGTAATCGCACTGTGTGGGATGCTGAGGGATGTGAAGCCGGAGCGTGTTGTGTGGCATTCAATTGCTTATAGGCAACGCTACTGTGAAGTTGTACTACAGCCCCCTACATAACCCCTCTCTGGCCCCTATATAATCCCTAATTTCATGCCTGGTATAACCTCTATATAACTCCCCAAGCAGAATGGTTGAGTCCGATTGGGTAACAGCCCAGAACGATCTGGCGAAGACCGTGCGGTACTTGGCGTCGAAGACTGGCTGGGACCTGAAGGACCAACAGCAGGCCCTAGAAAAGTTAAATGGGGGCTTCCCCAAGTTAGGGGTATCTTTACAGGGGATATAGGGGGATATCTAGGGTTGTATGGGGTTTAGGGTTTAGGGTTTTGGGAATACCATTTTGGGGGTTCCCATCCTTGGTAGCTAAGGATTGTAGTATTTTCCGGTGTGTATATATATATATATATGTGGGGTCCCCTACTTAGGGAAGCGACCAAATCTCGAGTAATGCCACCACCACTCGGATGCCTTGCCAAGGATCAGTCAGTTTTAGGACTTGGGTGTTTTAGGATTCAATTGAGCCATAACCTAAACCCCTTAAAGGGGTTACATACGGGATTATATAGTGGACGAATATAGGAGTTTAGACTGTAGCTCATAGAACCCTATACCCTACATAATCCCCATATAAACCCTATAAATTCCCTATGATATAACCCTCGCATAATTCCTATATAACCCCCATATAACTCATATAACCCTATATTTCCCAACTGAGCCCACACTTTTGTCAGCTTCAGCCAGGTGGTGCACAAACTGCGGCGAGTGGGATGCGTAGAAAACCGCTCGCTGCAGGCAAGAAGGGGGGTTTCCCAAAATTAAGGTTTGGGGTTTAGGGGTACCTTTAAAGGTTTAGGGTTTCGGGCCTAAACTCCTTGAAGGGGGTTATATATATTCGTATTCTTGGGATCTATTTTTTTTGTCCCCTTATTTAGGGAAGATACTAAATCTTGTTTCAGGTTTAGGTGGACACAGGGTTTGAGCATGACATCGTCATCGTATCAGACAGAGTCAGAACAAAGCTGGGCTTTGCAAGCGCAAGGCAATGAGCAAAGGTAAGCCCCTAAACCCCAAAACCTTAAACATGTGATGATTAAGTCTTCCCAACCCCTTTTCTCCGTGTCTCGTGAGGTGGCAATCACCACAAGGAGCTTGAACCCGCGCCTCAAGAAGCACAAGCTCCTCAGCTGAGACTGTTGCTGTTTGGTAAGTGGGGGGAACTTTCGAAACAACATTTGGCTTAGCCCAGAGAAATGCCGCTCGTGGCCACAGCTCCCATCCCCCGTTTCTGTGCTGCTTACGAGTTGCTGTGGAAGTGATAGAGCGGACAGGTTCCAGGAGCTTGGTGTTTTGATCTTGGAAGGCTGACCAACGCCTGGGTGACAGAAGGACCCATTATCAGTTATATCAGCCGAGAGACGAGGCAGAGAACTTCCCACCCCAGAGCTTCAACAACTGAGTCTCCCGCCAAGGGTTGTGAATCTGCACAAGGCATGATGCTAGAGGGACACAACCGCATTGCCACAACAGGGACAAACATCCCAGAAGGTGGGGTAGGTGGACTGCGAGGGTGAAAACCGAACTCAGGCTTTACAGCCCGAGGTCCTCACAGGTGATAAGCACGGAGAAATGCGCTCTGAAATTGGAAGTTCCTTGAAATCCCACCTCAAAACATTGAAGCTCTCCTTTGTAACATTCACCCGTACCATGCGCACGGGGGACTGCGGCAACAGTCTCCTTTCTTGTACAGCTGGAACAGTTTCTCGCGAATTGCTGTTGCTTTCTGGCTGGTGCGAAGGAAGCATGTGGATGGGTCCAAATCCTGGAAGGGCGATTTTCTAAGGGTGTTGTGGTAATGTGGCTGGACGGGACGGAAATTCCTGCGCACTAGGCTGAATAACTCTAGCAGAACCCACTAAGAAGAAAGGAGCTAAACCCTAAACCCGAATCGCCCCACCCATCCCCCACCCCACGACGTCAAGGGGAAGGTGGGAGGCTGCCTCACGCCCCTGACATGAGCCCAGGGAACCAAAGCATTTGGAAATAGTATCATGACTACAAGTATTCCTAGTACTCTTATTCTCGTTGTTACAATAGTAGCAAAGAGAATAATAGCAATTATTGTAACAGTTATTGCTATTATTCTTATTCCTGTAACTGCACTGTTTGTTCACTGGGAAGCATGCGTCCCATCGCCTCCTTCCTCAGAGAGCCCAATATTACAGAAAATACCTGAGATTCTACTAGCACTCCTAATATACTGTAAGGTATATTGCTTAGTTAAGCTATATTGGGCTCCCTGGGTCCGAATATGTTCAAAATACCAAGGTTTCTGCCCTTCGGCGAGTCGTCCCTGGAGATTTTGGAAGGCTCAAGTCATTTCTGATTACTGGGGCTTATCGATTATCCCTATATAACCCCAATATATTCTCTTAGTCCCTTGTAAGAACCAGCAAAATTTCGGCAGCATTCACCAAGCTGAACGGCATCTTAGGGTGGTCAGGTCTTTGTTGAGAGTTGTGTTCAGCTTCACTGTTGCCACTTGAGCCATAGTCTCAACTCCTAGTATACCCCTTAATAACCCCTACAGTAGTCCCCTATATTACTCCTTAAATAACCTCCTTACAGTCTAAACTCCTAGTATCTCCCTTTATAACCTTGCAGTAGTCCCTTATATAACCCCCTTGAAGGAGTTTAGATTATGGCTCACTCGCGGCTCAGGGTGGGCTTCCATCTACGCTGCTAGCCACAGTCTGGGATAGACACTGTGAAAGATCGAGGGAACGCGCAGGATGAAGCTGGGATCTGCTTGGGTCCACTTGAGAATGGATAGCTCAAAAGAGTCCAACGCCACAGAACATGCATCTAAACATGGCAACATAGGAATGATTTCAAAATGGGGCCCAACATTTTGAGAGTTTCGGGCTAAGGTTTAGGGTTTAGGGGAACCAGCAGAAGAGCGTGGCCAAGCCACCCGCTGTACAGTGCGCTGGCTCTGGCTTCTCAAAGAACCCAGAGCCAGCCGGTTACGCCCAGATTCTTCCATAGGACATAACGGAGCAGTGAAGTGTTAGCAGCTAGATATGTCATAGTTGTCTTAGAAATAACGGCAAGACCTGGAAGAGTCGTAGTGGTGCCAAGACTTCTGAGTGCATCGGTTCCCTTGTTTCAAGAGTGCGGTGCGGATGACAAAAAAAGCTTGGCTTATTGTCCCCCCTAAGTAGATAGAATATGGCTTTGGGTCTATTAGAATGAGATTTCCACATACCCCATATTCCATCTACTTAAGGGGGGCTATAAGAACACGTCGGACGTTCGAGTTATCCTCGAGGAGCTGAGCCTCAAGCTACGCCCGTCTACATGCCATCTGTTCCCTAACATGCGACGCCTTGGGATAGAGCCCCGCAGCTGGGGTCGCGGAGCTTGGGGGAGCTGGGGGACGGTGGTTCAGATAGGGATAATGGGGAATATATTGGATTATATAGGGGTAATGGAAAAGAAAATGGAAACTACTATTTAGGGTTTAGGGTTTAGGGGTCAAAAATGGAGAATCAAATGGGTGGAACATTAAATGACAACTAGGGTTATATTGTGGTTTATATGGGTAGAATTCATCAGCTTCAGGCAATGAAGCATTATCGCTGGCCTGCGCGAGCCTGGATCGGGTGTGGGACTCAGACTGACTATGGCCCACATGAAGCCCAATCCGCATGATATCCAAGCGGTTTAGGGTTTTAGGGTTTTAGGGTTTAGGGTTCAGGGCCTTGCGATCTTCACCAGAGTGCATCCCTAAACCCCTAAACCCTAAACCCCTAAACCCCTGAACCCCTAAACCCCTAAACCCCTAAACCCTAAACCCCTAAACCCCTAAACCCTAAACCCTAAACCTGAGGTGGAACCGGATATGCCGGCCTGGCAGCATCCTAGGACCGCAGCAACAGTTCCTCTGCGACATGCAGCAGGACATGTGGCAGGCCACTGGCTTTCAGGAATCCAAGTTTCCCGAAATAAAGGGGCCCCAAAAGGGTTTTTAGGGCTTAGAGTTTAGGGGTTTCCCAAAATAAAGGGACCCCAAAGGGTTTAGTGGTTAGGGTTTTTAGGGTTTAGGGTTTAGGGTTTAGGGTTTGGGGGTTTAGGGGTTTAGGGTTTAGGGTGGTAGTTTCCCAAAATCAAGGGGCCCCAATTTAGACCCCAATATACGATATATTCCTTTCTATGGGAACCCCCCAAAAACGGACACATAATTTTGGGATCCTTATACATATATATATATATCCCACTTCCGTGCTGATTATTTGATAGGTACCACCCTACCCCAGAGCTTGAACCCTAAACCCTAAACACTAAACCCAAATTTGTTGTCAGCCTTCACGCAGAAACTGGGGCCAGGCTGGCGAAGCATTGCGCGGTCCTGCGGTCGACCTGGCAGCTTGAAGCAAGGGCTTGAGATCCAAGATCCTGCAGCTACACTGGCGCTTGAAGTATTTAGGGTTTAGGGTTTTGAAGTATTTCTGCCTTAGGGGTTTTCAAGTGTTTAGGGTTTAGGGTTTTGAAGTAATTTTGGTTTCGGGGTTTTCAAGTGTTTAGGGCCCAGGGTTTTGAAGTATTCTTGGTTTAGGGGCTATCATTAGGGCTTTGAAGTATTTTTGGTTCAGGGGTTTTAGAGTGTTTAGGGCTTAGGGTTTTGAAGTATTTAGGGATGTAGGGTTTTGGAGTTTGGGTAGCCCTGATCAGACCGTGTTGGCGGTGCACTCTGGTTGAAGGGGTGGGGTGGGGTATGGCATGCTTTGGGGGTTAGGGTTTAGGCTCTGAGAACATAGCGTGTGGCTTCGTAAAATCCCAACCTACCCCAGCCTGCTGACAGCCAGTAGAACGCAAAATGCAGGTTGCTCAAGATAGTCTAACAGCTTGGACAACATCCTCACTGGTGCTTAGCAGGGAATAAGGGCTTACAATCCCATATGATCCCAACATAATATATTCCCCTTACCCCCTACTAGCCCCCAGGAAGTACTTTTCTTGAGATCTGTGTTCGCAACATGTTGATGCACAGCCAGAAGAGAGCTTTCCAGCCAGGCGACCCCCAAAGTGGCGGAAATAGAAAAGAAGATGGGGGACCTGAGTGTGCGCGACCGAACGCAGGCAGCTTGAATCCGTTCCTGGTTTCTAGAAGGGAATGTTAGGATTCCAGGTTGGAAAAGGAGCTGTCCTTGAACTATGAGAGGCAAGATGACTTACTGCATTGAGGCTGCTAGGGTAGCGTGGGTTGCGGTACAGGGTTTTTGTGCTCAAGTAGGCCCCGAGTTCGGTGGTTTAGCGATTGCTGGAGCGCAAAGGAACGTCGAGCGACCAGGAGGAAACCGAGGAGGGGTGGCAGAGTATGTTCAGGAGCAGAACTCAGAGTTCATCCGAATTTCCGCGTAGGAAGACCGTCTCGAAGGATTCCTAGAGCGGTGCTGAAAGCCTGTCCGGGGGTTGTCTTGCCAAGGCCCTGTAACCAACCCAAAACTTTTTACGTCCCAAGATCCGAATCCCGAAGACCTTCATATGCACCACAGCCCCTTTTCAGGGACCTCAAAGCTAAGATCTAAATCCCTTAAACCCCACACCCTAAACCCTAAGTTCTAAAGCCTAAACCCCTGAACCGCCTGAATCCCAAACTCCAAACTCCAAACTCCAAACCCTACCCTAAACACCAAACCCTAAACTCTAAACCCTGAACCGTCAAACAATGTCTTGTGGCAAGGCAGAGCGGGTGGAAGATGTTGGCCAAGGCACGCTTCCTGCTGCAAAAACCTTAGATAGAATATTAGGGTTATATTGGGGGTTATATAGAGATAATGGAAAAGAAAATGGAAACTACTATTTGGGGTTTACGGTTTAGGGTTAAGGCTCCTTCGGGTTTCGGGTCTAAGGTTTAGGTTTAGGGCTCAAGGTTTAGGGTCTGGGGTCTAGGGCTTAAGGTTTAGGGTCTGGGGTCTAGGGTCTGAAGTTTAGGGCTTAGGGTTTTATTAGGGTTTAAGGTTTGGGTTTAAGGTTTAGGATCTAGGGTTTGGGGTGAAGCCCTTCCTGGGTCAACATGACTTCATCGTCATGGTTTTATATAAACATATACATAGATATGTAACCCTATGTAATGAGGAGTTTAGGGTTTAGGGTGTAATGTGTACGGTTAAGGGTTGAGGCGGGTTTTCATCGACCATTTGATTTATCAGGGTGGTAGAAGTGATGAAATGATGGTGATGGTGATCATGAGTGCAGATGTAAGGCTCACAACAGCAGTTTGGAATACCAGGGCCATTGAATACCACTGTAAGCGGAGCAGCATGAAGGACCCCTAAACCCTAAACCCTAAACCCTGGACCCTAAACCCTAAACCCTATGATCGTTGAGCAATCCTCTCCCCTAACCACGACAGCTCCTCGTGAGAGGGGAAGCTATGTTAAGAGGGTAGTGAGCATCCATATTTGGGGGTTTCTTTGGAGGCCTAGTGCACTGCGCTCCGGCGGGGGCTTCTGTGGGGGCTTGCAAAATTAGGGGTACCATTTTGGGGGTCCTCATGTCATGAGGATGTTAGTATGTTGGGGTCTTTATTGGGTCCCCTATTTGAGGGAAACTACCGAGTTTGTAGTGCAGCTACAGGCAAGCCCTGCAGATTGTATTCGCAGCGCATGTGTTGTTGCCCTGCTTTCGTTCATGCCGCTGGCTCTCAAGTATCCACACCCTGAATATTCAATATTGCGAAGTATTATAACCCAGACCCCTGATTACTAAACCTCCTCCCCTTAATGGGGATTATAATCGGGAATCCTTTAGGCCCTTAAAAGGAGGGGGTTTATTAATCATGGGTCTATATTAGTAATTCTAGAAGGGTGGGGGCTCAATGCTCCGCGGATGGAATTACCATTTGACTGAAGCTGAAGGACACAAGCGAGGGCATGTCGGGTGCAGTCTCAAAGCCTGAGCCGGTAGCAATATTCTGTTCATATGAGCTATAGTCTAAACTCCTTAAAGGGGGATTACTATAGGGGAATATATATATATATAGCGGAGTAGTATAGGGGTTCTTAAGGGGAATGCTAGGAGTCTAGATTATTGCTCATATGCTTCTGAGAAGGGCTACCGCCGATAGCCTAAACCCTAAAACCCCGGTCTTCCGTCATTTTGCCAATTGGTGCCATAGCCACCTTGCCCGGTTTTCATTGAGAATGTCCTAATAACCCCTTTCTGCCTTCATTTCGATGCCCCAGAGAGATTTTCAACGCTCGTCCTAAACCCCTGTGAGCATGTTTCGCCAAATGCAAGAGTGAAACGGCCTCAAACCACTGATGCAGGGGCTTTTGCATTGTTGAAATCACTTAGGCCGCACCATGGCATATCATATGTGCAAAAGATTTGTTAGACGTAGGAACAAAGGTATCCTGGGAACTGGCCGCCTGGCGTGTAATTCATGCCGTGCTGAAATGATCGCATCTACTGGGGGGGCACTTGTAGGCCTGACATTAGACCCCTAAACCCTAAACCCTAAACCCTAAACTGCATACTTTGCAGCAACCCACATCCAGCCTACCTGTGAAGTGTTAGTGTCCCACAGTCAGGGGACCCCAATATACACGCTAATATACGATAATCCTTATTATAGGGGCCCCCCAAAAAAGTACCCCTCAAGTTTGGGAAACCCCCAATCCCTATAAACTACCCTATAATCCATTTCATTTTCCATGTCTTTTCCATTTGATTCTCCATTTATTGGGGGGTAATAGGTACCCTTAACTTTGGGAAACCCTAAACCCTAAACCCTATATAACCCCTATAGAATCCTATATATCCCATTTGGGGAAAATCTTCACAGGTGAGAGGCTTGTTGGGGCAAAGCGCCACGGCCAGAGCCTAAGCCTCGATGGCTTTACAGTCGAGTTGACCGGGGTTATATAGGGGATATGTGGGGTTATATAGGGGATATGTGGGGATATATAGGGGTTGTATGGGGATAATGGAAAAGAAAATGGAAACTACTGTTCGTGCTTGTTGGAGGTCCCGCTGCTGGCGGCACAGCAATAAGTGTGTGGGCCTTGGCACCTTTTTTGATTCAAGCATGGAAGTCTTGGGGAGATGTATCTGCTTCTATCACTCTCTCCCCACATCTCTGGGTAGGCCCCTGGGATATTTAGTATTTTCCTTAATGGCTTTAATAAGGGACCCTATATACTGATATTTTTGCAAAGGGTTTTAGGGGCCAACCCAGATCTATGTCGAGATGTGCACAAGATGTCCAGGTAAATGGTGCGCCAATGATAGGCCAGCTGTGTGGGATTTGGGCGCGGAGATGCCTGACAGCTGCAGAGATGTCATCTTCCACAGAGCATTGTCACAAGTCCATTTTGAGCATAGAAGCTGGAACATAATCTGGATTGCTGTTAAGAAACTTAGATTTAGTTACCATGATAAGGAAACCCGATTATGTACTATTTACCCATGATATACCCAGATGATGGTAACTTAACGCCTAAACCCTAGTCCCTAAACCCTAAACCCTATATACCCATTATGGTACGTTAGGTTAAATTCCTTAGTAGCATCTCGGTAGATCATGCGTGCAAATGGGGCTTAAGCAATCCTAAACCCTAAATCCCAAACCCTAAACCCTAAACCGCGTTTATCCCCTGCGCCAGCTTTGCCTCGAATGGGGACAAATGGGCAGGGGCCTTGGTACTGCTGCTGCCTTCGCGACTGGTGATGGGCTGAACCCTAAACCCCAAATCCTAAACCCTAAACCCTAAATCCCGAATCCTAAACCCCAAATCCCAAATCCTAAACCCCTAAACCCTAAACCGCTAAACCCCTAAATCCCTAAATCCCTAAAACCCTAAAACCCTAAACCCCTAAACCCCTAAACCCTCCCAAGGAATGCCTCAGATCCACCGACTCCGCTCAGCCCATCGGCCAAGCCGGGGCGAGTTGAGGCGGAGCCTTTTTCAGAGGGCTTAGGGATCTCTAAAAAGATAGGGATTTAGGGTTTAGGGATTTAGGGTTTAGGGATTTAGGGTTTAGGGTTAAGGGCTTAGGGATCTCTAAAACAATGGGGTATTATTGGGGTATTATTGGGGTATTACTGGGGTATCATTGGGGTATTATTGGGGTTATATAGGGGTTATATAGGGATAATTTAGGG